CCCGACCTCGAGCACACCGCCACTGGCTTCCCACAAACGCCCTTGGCGAAGGAACCTACAGTGACTCTGTACTGAGTTTGCGGCCAGGTCCAAAGCACTTGCCCGGCCAGCCTCGCTCCTGCCACATCGCAGGGCCACCTCGTCATTTGCAGCATGCCTCGTGTGTGTTCCAACCTCTGTGTTTTTCCTAATCCCACCCCACCCCCACACCTCCCAGATCGGGCCCCACTCATCCTGGAGGCTCAGGCTGACTTCCATGAAAGTTTTCCGTGAGACCTTTCCGACGCCTCCAGCCCACGGCAGGGTCCCCATGGCGACACGAGTGAATAGCACCCTACTTAGCTACCGACGGATCCCTGATTGTTTTCCACATTGTAGTCTTATCTCCTCTACTGGACACAGAGTTGATGTTAAATAAATATTTGGTTGAAATATTGATTGGGGAAAACATAGAGCTAAGGCCATTAAAAGACTCCGAACTGGGGGAACCTGCGAGCATGGGTGCACGCGCGTGCGTGCGCGTGCGTAAGTGCATGTGTGTCACGCCAAAAGCTCTCTTCTACCTCCTTGAGAAATATTCCCAAATGCCCCTTCAGTTCCCTGGTCGCCTGTGCCAATAGTCAAGCAATGGATGCTCCATTCCCACCCCCAGCCTCTCGTGTCTGGCCGTGGCCTGATCAGTACCTGCAAGGAACTCGCCATAAAGAGGCCGCATGTCCTCCTGTAGTACCCGGCATCCGTCTCCGTGGCGGGGGATTCATTCCCGGCTCTGTGGCTCACCAAGGCCGGCAGTGTGCAGGTGGGTTGGAGGGAGACGGGAAGGTGTTTTTAGACAACATGCCCCAGCAACTGAGTAGTTAAGAGGGAAACTGAGGCAGACGGTCCTAGAAATCTTCTCAGATTTTCTGTCATCATCCCATTCAAGGCAATGGAAACCTCTAATCTGTTGTTTTGTTTTCGCTTTTTATTTTTCCTATCTTTCCATCACACACATGAATGCAAACACAATCACACACACGCACACGTGCGCACGCAAAGCATAAAAAGGCCCCTTTGCAAGCATTTTTTCCGGATCAGACTAAATGCTGCTCAGAGGGAGGGAAAGCAGAGCAGAGCAAAGAATGAGACACGCAAGCCACCTAGCTCCTTTTCCTCCCCTTTAAGGCTGCCTGGTTACGGTCCTGGGAAAGAAAACCCCTGCATTCCTCCCCTTTAATTCAGTTTTTTGTTAAAGCACTGGAGCAGCTAATCCTCACAGACCTGTAGGAGCTGGAGTGGGAGACCACGAGCACGAATTCTTTCCGAGTCCCTGGGTAAGATGAACCTGCTTCTTTTCTTGGCTTTAGGAGGTTTCCTTGCTTAGTGGGAGGTATGTGGCTCCTAAGGGGTGGGTTTGAAGAGCCACTTTTGTGAGCAACTTGGGTGTTTTTTCAGCCCCAGTTTCCGGCTTGCCTGATTCTTGTGGTGTCAAGGGTAAGTTGTAGCTGCCTTGGAACATAAGTCTGAATGGGGGTCCGGGTGGGACCTCCGTGGGGAGCCATCTGGCCATCACTTTAGGGTTGGCTTGAGTGCGAACCTTTTGTGCTTCTGGGCAGGAAAAAGGGAGCAACATATCCATCTCTGCCCCTTGGCAATGCCTGCATTCCAGGGGCAAATCTCTAGGCTCTGTGCCTGGGAGGGGCGGTCTGTCTGCAGGGCGTCTGGACCTCCAGCATGCTGCACCCCTGCTTCCTGTTTAGCCTTCAACTCTTAACCTCTCTGACCCCATCTGTCAAATAGGGCAAAGCCCATTCTGCCTACCTGTCTGGGTTGTGGTGAGGATTAGGACAGCCAGTGGGCAAAAAGGAGGTTTATAACAAGCCTGTGGCTCTGCAAACACAAGGAAGGTGGACAGTCTCCAAGACAGGGTCCAGGGACAGGCTCCAAATCCTTGTCCCTGGCTGCATTAGGAGGCAGAACTCAGCCTCTGAGCACGAGGCATTGCTGTCAGTCACAAGACAACTCCTTCACCTTCCCCAGGGGTGCATCAATCTCCCTCTGGTCTTTAAACTTCCCTAGTTCAGTTTCTCAGGTAAAGATGGTAAAGGAGGTCTGGATTCACCACCACCCCCATCCACACTGTGGCCCCTTCTCTCCACGTAACTTTGACGCACACACCTTAACCCTGAGGCTCCCGGAAGCGCTGCCAGGGCTGGCGCTGGTCTGGCTGCAGTGCGTGGCTGGCCAGCTGCTTGCTCCGGAGCCAGATAACTTGATCACGAGGAAAATCACTGAGAAGGGTCAAGAGAGTCAAGCAGGTTCTGTCTTGGCCAAGGAGATGAGCTTTCCCAGACCAGAGGCTGCAGACAGAGCCTGGCCCCTGGAAATTCCCACTGACCCAAGTTTCACCAGGATCAAAAATGAGCCCCAAGAGGCCACAACACAGAGAGCTTAGTAATACCTGATATGGGGACCACACTTTACCGTTGATAATGTGCTTCTACTCTATCATCTTTAGGACAAGCCCATCAGGTTGGTGGAGCAAATAGTGTTTCACCCTTCGTATAGGTGGGAACTTCGAGACACAAAGAGGTTAAATGGTCTGCCTGGGGCTGCAAAGCTGGGTACTGGCAGTACCCATTTGATGATAGTAGCATTTGAACCCAGATCTTCTGACAGACAGTGACCTTTCCATGATACTGCAGATAGCTATGGTGTCTGTGTGTGTGTGTGTGTGTGTGTGTGTG